CCAACGGTGTGATTGCTGGAAAGAAGCCACGCCAACTTCATGAGGTAAACAGCCACAGTTTCTTCTTTCCAAACAGTCCCATGGAATTGGATCTGGTATTAACATCTGTTCTAAAGGATGTGACTCCATGTGTTTAGCTCTCGGTTCTCCTGTTCACACCTGGCATCAAAAGTCCATCTCACATGCGTTTCCTGTGACCACTTGAAATGGAATTTTGCCTCCTCGGGCTGTATCCTATTCATGTTGAACAAACAGGGTTTGTTCAATAATGGTATGTCTCAGTGACGTACCATTTGGTAGTGACAAAGCAAGTGCATATTGAGAAATGAGTGAATGTTTCAGGTGCACATGGGGCAGTGCTACCAAACAGGTAAACACAATTGTTTGGGCTACAGCACCTTGATTACAACTTTGTTTAGTTGGACCACACGACATCAGTCATAGAAGTTTGATCTGATGCACTTAACACAAGAATATCTCCTAAGAACTACACCAGGTTCACGGTCAGACGACAGTTTCTCTCTTGAGAGGAAAGTGACCACGTGTGTCCAAGACCACCTTTAGATATGCATACAAGCCACTCAGGACAAATCAGGTACCCTCGTACCTACTACTGGAGCTGGACACTTGAGATAAGATCACCCCGAGACGGATGTTATTACCAGGTTTGAACGGAGCCATTGATTCAGATTCCTTGTCCTCTCCAGGAATGAATGTGAGAGGGAAATAAACAGCATCTGGTCTATACCTTCACCAGGACCACCAACATGTCGTCTGTGAATGGGAAGGTGAATTTAAAACCAACAAAAACTGGTGTTGATTTGTTGAATTTGTTTACCACTCAGTGATGGACAGACTAATTTATGTAAAAACAAAAAGGGCAAAAAAGTAAGAAACTAAAAAAAATCAATTCAATTCAGAAATTAACTAAAGGTTTAAAATTTCATCAAGAGAAGAAAAAAACAAACTGTTCAGCTGTTCTAGCTCCTCACACCACTATGAATTATTAATGCCACCCATTCGTCAGTCTTCCTACCCATCGTCGATAGCCTCCATTATGGCCAGTGTGTATACATTACAGAGTGTATAGAGTGTCAGAAAATTCCCGCATTCAAGCAGCTGCATGGCGGGAAGAAAGGAAGATGGAGAGGGAATGAAAGTGAGAGAGAGTGAGATGGAGAATATGAGGCGGCTGATGGACAGTAGTGACAGCAGAAAGCATTATCTCGTCAGGAAACCAGAGCCACGCAGCACGCAGAGAGGCGAAACACTGACGGTTTGACAACAGCACTGAGGTTTATGCTGATGAGTGTGTGATAATACGTGTTGGCTGTTGTCCTGAAAACACACATGATTGACGCAGGAATTAGTTCTTAAAACCAGACATCAGCAGACTGGAGACGGCTCTGGCAGTAAGAAGAAATACCCTTCACATTCCAAAGTATTCTTAGGATGATCAAAAACTACAAGATATTAGTGTCTCTGGGAAGAAGCAAACCACTGAGATAATCCCAATTTTTTTTAATTATTTTTAATTAAAATAATTAAGGTTCATTGAGATTAAACAACATTCCTACATATGACGAAACCTTCTGTATACTCCAGGAACAGAGAGACAGACAAACAGAGCAGTTACATGCATGTGTCTCCACACCTGTGTCTGACTGTGACTGATCACAATGATCAGGAATTTGTATTATGGAAAAATATCAAGAAAAATATTCAAAATTTAACTCAAACTAAAGTTATGTAAACCCTAACTGTAGCTTGTTGAATACCTCTAAGGTTGTTCTCTCAATATTAATCAGTCCACAGTCCCAGACAAGCCATTTGACAACTGTGTCAGTCAGCTGTAGACTCACTAACAGCTCTGCACTCGATGAGTTTGGTCTGACTTGAGGCCGGCGTCTGACCTGAAGTCAAAGCCTCCACAAACACAAAATGGACACAGCATGTAGAAAGACTGTCTTGGCTGTGTATGAGAGCATTGTTTTCCACAGACTGGGTCACGACTCTCATGTGGGTCACAAGAGATTTTTCTTTGGGTCATCTCGCATCATGTGTCCCAAGAGTTTACGAATAATGTCTATTGACTCGGGTTGCGAAGGTTTGTGACTTTTAAAATATGGGTCCCCAGAAAAAAAGATTTGGGAAACACTGTATTAGAGGAACGACAAGTGGATGGACGGTGGAATTACTGTATATACAGTGCAGGTCATTCTACGTCTGATGTCATGGATATAATTCTGTCTTTTAGTCATTGAGTACATACCACAAACTTTAATTATTATACTGTAGGCAACAGACAAAAAGTAAAAAAAAGTCAGTTTGAAACTGTAGGCCACAATGTACAACATAAATAAGATAAAGATTAGAGGGAGAGTCAAAGAGTCTTTAATAGATTTACTTCATATAATGGATGTATGTTGGCCTCAGTGTATTCCATCTGTGTATCTTGTGTTTGCCATTTAAAACCATTCACCACTGTTTAAGTAGCCCCTAAAAATAAACTCATTAGTAAAAAACACTTTAGCCAAAGCAACTACTGGTGGTGGAAACAGTGTTTATTTATTTTCCCACTAAAAATGGTTTTGCTACACCTGGCAGAACTGCAACCGGGGAAAGAAGTACTTTCTTCTGGCGTGGCCATGGAAATAGTGCAGGTGAATTATGAAGGAACTAAGTGTCACTGATTAAGTTGTTAAGGCACTTCACATTGAACAGACCGACCATATTAACATTTAAGGCAGACGTGTTTATATCAGCTTCCCAGTTGGTTTGTACTGGCCAGGACTGAGCCAGTCGGAGGTGAATGGGGTTTATTATTGTTAGCAAACATAAAAAGCTCGGGCTGCCTCATTAATTTTCACTCATTAATCTTTTTAAACCCAGAACGCTAATGTGCTGTAAATTAGTGTATGGTTTAAGACCTGGTCTGGACAGTGAGAGGGACTCTGATCGCTGACGTACTGACACCTTCAGAGGCTAATGAAGTGATGAGGTCACACAACGACGGGTTCGCTAACTGGAATCTAAGGGAGAAGTGAAGCCGATGGTGGAAAAGCTGGCCTCTAGGATAAACAGCATGGGCAGGGAACCATCACTTTGTCTCTCTTTGTCTCAAACACACAAATAACAGTAGGAGAAGAATAACATCAGTGTGTGTGTGTGTGTGTGTACTTTTAAACTCAAATATGTAATAATGACTTGCAAGAGTAAGAGATAATAAATGCAGTGTCTATGTCACTGTGCTGTCACGGTCCTGTGACTGTATAACAAGTCAGGTTGTGTAGTCACTCAGATGTGTCTCTCTAACAATGTGGTCCAGTGTCTCTGGAGGTGTTATCAGGACAGACGGACTATCAGTCTCTGCTGTGGTGTCTCCACCCAGAGGTAATTGGACTGGAAACCGACTGAGCCCAACGTTCAGATAAATCTTTTCAATTACAGTTCTTTTTTATTCCCAGTCCTGGCACATTTATATTGTGGGCGTGTGTGTGTGTGTGTGTTTGACAGACCTGACTGTACGTGGCATCCAGCAGTGTGTCCAGGTTCTGTAGTGGTGCCGGGGTTTTGTCCTTGAACCGAGTCAGCAGGCGCCGCTGAATGGCCCTAAACTGGACCGCCCGTTCTGACAGGAGGTCCTGGTACTGCTGGGCAGTGAGGCGCAGCTAACACACACACACACACACAGAAACCTGATGTTAATTAACAGTTTTATATACACAGTATATTAAAAACCACCATCGTCCAAACAGGTAACTGTATCTCTCTATAACAAGACACACAGATTTAAGAGAAAATAAAATGTAAATTCACTGATTGGCTGGAGTTATAATCACAGCCGTGTTTGTACCTGGAAATGGTTGTCCACAGACAGGAAGTAGTCCTGAAGTGGGACAGGTCCGCTGAAGCTTTTCCTGAAGTCCTTGACTCCCAGTTTGGAGAAATGCTGGTCAAACCTGTGAAGCAGCTCCTTCACCACTAACCACATGTCCTCAAAGCTGTCGCTCTGGACACGGTAACGCTCTGACGAAAACAAAACGCAGAAGGTAAGTAAGTAGGCTGACACTCTTGTTTTTGCACATCAACACGTACATCAGATATGATAAAGAAACAAAAAAGCCATGAAAGGAGAAAAAAGTGGTGTCAAAGCTCTGGTCTCAAAAACACTGAAAGTCATTGTCCACGGTGGAGTTCTGAATTTTGGCTGCACTTGCCATTTTTCAGTGACTTGATTGCTAACTTCTGGTTAACGTCTCAGCCTCAGCGGCTTTTGCCTCTGCATGTTGTGAAAAGTCCTGTCACGCGCCGTGAGCACAGGCAGCGCACAGAGAGGTCGGCATGTTGGTTAGGTACGACAGGGCAGCGGCAGAAAACCCTTGTTTCTGGGGTTATTGCAATTTGTATGACTCCGTATTATTTTACTGAAGATTCTGAGTTTAATATAATCCAGTCCACAAGCTCAAATCCTACATTTAGGGTGTCTATGAAGGGGGGAGAATATAAAGTCTGTATCTAATGTGGGGTTGGGCCCAGAGTAGTCTTTTTCTTTCAGATATCAACCTTCGTCTGCAGACCACGTCAGGTCACCCCTCCTTTGCTGTACGGCATTTCTTTGTCCAGTAAATCCATTATCATCACATAATGACCAAAATTGCAGTTTAATCATCTTAACCAGAGCCGTCTGCCTGATGTGATGATGTGTTAAACTGAGCATACTGAGTTTGCCACCTCCAGGTTATGCAAAAAAAATGTTTCACACTTAACTATGAAAGAAATGTATTTTTTGAATTTTTGAGTGTAAAATAATTTGCAGGGGTCTCAAACTCAAATGAGCTAGGATGCCACTGTTGTCCTGCCATCTCATTGAAGGACCAAAGTCTAACAGTAGGGGGTCAGATTACAGAATACTGACATCCAGCTGCGGGCCACATGTGGGTGGTTCGTGGGCCAGAAGTGGCCTGTGAACCGGGAATTTGAGATCCCTGCTCTAAAGACTAAATTTTGGTTGAAGTTCTGTATTAAAGTAAAGTATTTTCCCGGGCAGTGTCATAGTTAAAATCCAAGGTGAGACTCACGGGAGGTCTTAGAGGCCACCACTGTAACACTGGCTCCTGACAGGAACTGGAACGCCACAGCATTCCCATCCTTATCTTCGGATTTCACTAAAAACTCTGCAGAGAGAAAAGGAGGGATGAGGGAGTGGGAGTGATGAGACAGATAGGAAAAGGCTTATCAAGATGCAGGACGCCAACAAAAGGAGCAGGAGATACAGTCACACCGCTCACAAAGATGCACAATCTGAGCGGAATGAGATTTACACAAGGAGACAATCGGCATAAACACTGTTTGTTTAGACGCCACAGTTCGCTGATTGTAGTCCGACGTCAGATAACTAGGAAGAACAGAGGATCCTGGGGCTAACACACGCACACACGCACGCACACACACATAATTCTAAAGAAATAAACACGCATAAACAGACTCATAACTCACACAACCACATGCACTTCTTCCCAGCTGTGTGTCCACTTTCATTAAACTGTCAGCAGTGCTGTCAAGCCAATAAAACTCAGAGTGTGGTTAGAGTCATTAAAGGGTCAGCATCCAGTTGGATTTCTCAATTTTGAATCTACCTAAACATGTGGCGCTGGAAAAAAAATTAACTTCAACTCAATTCCCCTTTTTGCCCAATGACTAAACAAGGCAACAATGTTATGTTAATTCACTGGTAGCAACAACAGGCTCCTCCTCCTCCTCCTCCTCCTCCTACAGAGTCCAGAATATCACTACCTATGTCCACAAGTTACCACTACTGCGATGCCATGGTAAGAGACTCCTGTAACAGCTAACAAACTTTGATACATCCTACCAAAATTATCCCATCACATTTATGATGCAAAAAACGTCCAAGCATTTTTTTTTCACTCTATCACAGTGGTTCTCAAACAGAGGTACGCGTAAACATTTCTAAACATCTCTCCTGTGGTGGAAGCTAACAGTGAAGGCCTATGCTGCTGTATTCTAATGTTGGTCCTCATGGTGGTACATGGTGGAGAGCTCAGTGTTTTCTCAGGTAGTACAGAGTAGAAAAAGTTGGAGAACCACTGCTCTATCATATTTGGTGTGAACACAGCATTAGCCCATAGAGATACATAAGGGTTATAATGCCTAAAGATGTGAAGTGTATCCAGTAAGTAAGAAAATCAGAGCTTTAAATGAAGTTTTTAATGGTCAATTTGCCTCTAAATTTGCCAAGTTGTTAACATATTCTGCTGAAATGACCAAAAAACCAGCAAAATCAGCCATGAAATTCAGAGGTTTGCTGTCTTAATAAATGTAGCGAGACGTCCACGCAGGTGATCGTTTTGGTTATTTACCTGGGAAGATGGTGTTGAGGTTGACCGGCGGCTGGTTTGTGTCCACGCTGATCTTGAACTTGCTGGTTTTGGCCGGAGGGGAAGGAGTACACACCAACAGGAGAGGAAGACTGAACTTGGACTGGAGAACCCGGGGAACTCCTAAGGAAATGGAATGAAAAAGTGTCAGCAGTTGAGAAGGAGACATTTTAATTAGAATTTGAAATTTTTATGATGTTGTTCTCCTGAAGTTTCACAACTTTTCATTTTGCGCTGTTTACTTTAAGGGCATTCAGTGGCAGATTGTGCAAAACCATAAACTACTGTAACATAAACAGAAAAGCTTTTATGAGTCATATTTGTATTTAAGTTGCACATTTATTTAATATCACTTTTCGACGCTTTCAAATATTCCTCCCCAGATATTTTCCTCAGAAACAGCCTTGAAGCCACAGCCCATTTCCTCTTTAAGTGGCGCCCATCTCCACCAAGATTCCCTGAGGCAAATCAAATGAGGTCACAACATCACCTTTCAGGGTTTCTCTCCAAACAGTGGACAGGTCAGCGTTTGTTAACAGAGTCAACACTGCAGATATTCAGATTACAGGAGTATCTGAGAGCTGCGAGACCCGGAGACTCAGTGTCAACACCAAACCTGGGGGGGATGTTTGTCGAAGATCCGAATGGGAAGTTTTGTGAAGATTTAAAGAGGACCGAAAGAAAAAAAAAGTGAAGGAGAGAAGGGAGGTGGAAGCCAACTATAACGATGTTCTGAGTCTAAGCAGTGCTGAGCTTGGCAGAAATGTACACTTAGTTAGAATAACAGAGCAAGGGAAAGGAGGGACAGAGGAAAAGAGTTGTTAAGGAGAGATGGAGGAGCGAGGGAACCTGGGGAGAGGAGGTGAGCTAACGACAGGAGAGGGAGACGACCTGAGTGGAGCTGAAAAACGAGTGGAAATAAACCAGAGTGAAGAAAAAGAAAAAGAGAGGGAGGGAGGAATAACATGAGGAACCACAGCCAGGGTGGCACAGAGGGAGGGGTCACTTAATTATGGAATGTTCCAGGTTATTACAGATAGCAACAATTACCTGCAACTACTGTGCACCTTTTCATTCCAGACGTGAAATTATGATGTGATTATGTGAATAATTCATCTGTGTTTTACTGCGAGAACAGAGGAAAAGAGGCGAGGAGGAAGGACGTGGAGTCGAGGGAATCAAAAAAACAGAGAAAATTGACCCTCCTCCTTCTCCCCCCGACCCCCACGTTTCTCAATCATTAATTCTCACTGGCCTTCCATCATGGGTGACTGGATGGTAAATAAAAAGAAAATAAACTAACATCCAACAAAACACAACAAAGGGCTGTGCATGCACATGTTTTCCGAGTGAAGATTCAGCCAGTGAATCAGGATTAGAGGAGTGAACCTCATTAGAGCACTGAACAGTTCTACATGTTGGAAAAATTATTTTGTGAAGAAGTTCAGGCCAAACAAAAACACAACCTTTGGAGCACAAAACAACTGTAAAGTGGTAACAGGTCTGGACGGAGAAAAAAAAAACAAAAAACATCATATTGTGGCTCAGCAGTTTTGGAGAAGTGTCAAGAAACAAAAGGTTTCTCTGGACAGATATCACAAGTGAGGCATTCATGGGAATCATTGGGTGAATCAAGGGTGACAACCATTCCCGATGTGACCTTTGACCTTTGAACTCACGTAACGTGAAGTTATCATTGAAATGGAGCAAACTACGGCCTGTGGGCCAGACGTGGCCCACTGGGCTTTATAGTTTGGCCTGAAATACACTGGTACAAAGGTGTGATAAAGACACCATATACAGTATATCCAAAAAGTCCACTTTGTACTCGTAGGTCGGTCATGCAGTTTTCCACTGCTTTAGTGCTCACACGACCTGAGAGTTATTTTTAAAGCATGATTTTAATAAAAAAATAATTATTATATTTTGAGTAAAAATCACACAATTCAACCGCTCTGACCACAGTGCAAAGTTTCCTCATTTAACATATGAGGTGACCTCATACTCAGACACTGGAACTTCAGTGAAGGATGTTTTATGTTCACACTCAAGTTACCTGTGTGTTGACACAGTCGGCTGTGAGGAACGTACAGAATAAAAAACCAGAAACTCGCTTCACTGGTATTAATGATGGGTGGAGAAAGAAGAAGTAAAATATATAGTATACCGGGAAGAGAAATAAAAAAAGCCATATAGGCAGGAGGGAGGAGGTTAGGGTGGGGGCAAGAAAGAGGTAGAGAGCAGCATGAGGAGAAGAGAGAACAAAAGTACAGGACAAAATAAAAAGGTGAATGGAAGGAGGACCATTGTCAACCTAAAACCTATTGATGACTTTCTCTGATCAGAGAAGTTGTCTAGCAACATAAGTATCACTGAAGATTTAAACAAATGTAATTATTGAAACTGGAGGAATTTGTTATAAAAATGTGTGTGAAAGCCTGATCTATAAGTGAGGTTTTTGGGGGTATCTTCAAATGACTGATCATTTCTAAGGTTTCTAGATAAAATTCCCTGTTTACTAGAACCTTATTGAAGAGGTATTCTGAGAGAGAAATGCAAAGTGGAATCTAATATTTGGATTTTCAATCGTTAATCATTAGTTTGCTAAGTAAAAAATGACAAATAACTTGAATAAAAAAAAAGCTCTTTAAAGCATAAATTGATTGGATCGATGAAATAAGAGAAGGAGAACAGTGTATAAATTTAGTTAAGGATTAACATTAGGTTTTGGGTCGAGAGATGAAACTAAAATTCTTCTTAAAAATATTGATATACTGATCTGGTTTGATTATTCAATTATCATTTTAAAGGTTAATAGAAGATTTTTGGGTTTTCTATCATGGTGAGATTGTGACTTTGATGTACAGTACATATAATTTAAAGGAATTTTAAATACTTTTGCTGCCAGTAACATTGTCTTTTCCCACTTCTTCCAAATGTCCTTTATTTAATCTGATAATAGAACTATACAGTAGGTTCACACAGTTTGATATTTACTGACTCACATTACTCTGATGGCAGGGCTATGACTGGGAACCAACGAAAGAACCACGTGAAACCTCACATATACGTACCAACCAAGAGAGGACACACCAACACACACTACATTCTGTCAGACCAGAATTTGAAGAATGAGATGGTAAAGTGATTACTGACGATCCTAATTTTCCTGTGGAAATCTGTGTATCTGTTGTGCACACAGGTAAAAACGTCCATCTGAACGTCAAACAACAACAACCATTTTTCCCCAAATGCCACAGCTGTTTTACGACTTCTGCATCATCTGTGAAAGACACCCAGTGTTTCCTGATCCGCTGTACGACCAGCAGGAGGACACAGTTTCCACCTGACCCTAATGTCTTCTCTGTCTGCTGACGTCATCTCCTTGATGATGTCAGGTGCACGTGAGCGGAGCTGGGACGGAATTCTGGTCAGCTGCACACTGTGGCATTTGCGAAATGCTGCATAACTCACCTACGTCAAATGTCACCGGTTTGGTTTGGTTTTTAATGACCCGAGTGTAGACAAGGTGCAGTGGAAAGAAAAGCAACACGTCAATGATGTCTAAGGGGGATGATTCAGTTAACAAACTTGAATCCAAGACGGCGACAGGAGCCAAGGAGTGAGTAAGTGGCCGAAACACTGCTCCTCAGTTATATTACACTGAGGTTGGAGTGTTTGTCTTACAAATGTTTTAATATAGCCACTTTGTTAGGTGTCCAGCTTTGACCGAGGTCCCTTTAACATCCTGTACTGTAGTGTAAAGTGGGAGCCAGTCTGCTGCTGCTGCTGCTTGTTTCTACAGACTCTGATTCCAATTATGTGGAAGCCATGTTTAGGCCTGACACAGAGGCAGGAACCAGAGAGGCAAACCGCAGAGTTTATTTGAGGGGCAGGAACACTGTACCGGATCGAGTTCTTAACACAGCAGCAGTGATGTCAATCGCCGGTGTTAAATAAATTTTCTGTGTATGCCCATGAATGGCCAGATGTCAATGTCAACCTGCGCTCAAGTCCAGACGTGGTGCTGAAGTCACCCAATGTGGCCAAAAGATTTCTGCAAACGTCAGTCTGGACATTTTCTAAGATCCCAGGACGACGTCTGGGTGAGACTGTACGACTGTATGAGAAGGACAGGACAGAAAGTTCTGGATAATCACACACTAATGGAGCTTTCACATGTCCTGCTTTCAGGAAGCTTGACCCAGACTTTGAATGTCAGAACCAGGGAATGTTCCGCTGCATTCATCAAACATAAAGAGCAAATTGTAGAGAAATGTCTTGGCCAGATTTTATAGTAGACACACATGTAGTTTTGAAGCCAACATTCCCAGTAGTTGGAATGAATTCAATGGTTTTAGGTGGGTAAAATAAAACCATTAAATCTTGAGAAAGTGTTGACAAAGTTTCTCAGGATTTATTTATGATTAACGATGATCAATTCCAAACCATAGCAGGCGATATTTAGTACACTACATGCTATGACTGCAGTGGCCTGTACTAAAAATCCACACCTGATTTTCAGTACAAAATGATTATGATTATGTTGTTTGACTGTCAGCAGAAAAGCTGAAAATAAAAAAAGTGAGACACCGTACAACTCTCCTATCTATCCACTTGGTCAGTTTGATGCATTTTTAGATGATTTTCAGCAGTATTCCAGACCTAGTATTGTTGAAGGAGACAGTATCAACATGTGTACCGTCGACTCGGCAGCGGCAGTCAACGACAGACGTATTTAACGACACAGCACCAATAGGATTTGTTGGAATTTTTATCTTCCTGTCTTTTGTGATGAAGAAAATATTTAATTTCAGCAGTTTATATTTCCCTGAAAACATACTTGGCCGATGCAAGTATTCCAGTATTCCAAGTATTTCCTTAGGAAGATGATGTACTGCTGGTGCTCACTGTGTAGTCTACAGGACATCCTACTCTAAATCACAGCACACAGACTCAGATGGACTGAAGCAAACACTGGCTGACAACTAGGAGGAACACTACAGCTGGAGGACACACACTGGGTAGGCATGTGTGTGTGTGTGTCTAAGTGTACACGCACGTGTGTGTGTTTAAGATTGATTGTATTTCAGTTTAAACTTCACATGAGACTAAATTGATAA